GAAGCTACCTAAGAATAACTGGAGTGGAATAACTGTTGCGGCATCTACCTAATCCAGTAAAGAAATCGAAGTACTGTGGTATAACATGCGTGGGATGTGTTCAGTTCATGTGAGAGTGCTGTAAGATAGAACACGTCACCAACCAAGGCGGCGGATGAGTGGAGGAAAACCAAATTCTCCCCGAGAAGTGAAGAAAAGACAACTGAAAATTATCAAGGATGTACAACTAAGGGGTTGTGGTTATGTGTGTGCGTGTGTTGGGGGTGGGGGGAGGGGGGGGGGGGGAGGGGAGGGGAGTAGGATCGGATACAAGAACAGTTTGTGTCACGCTATGGTCATTTATGTTATGATGCATACAAAAGTGTGAGCAGGTGACTGATGACAGGTGTCTAACAAGAAATCTTCAAAACACAAAAATCTTGTGGTTTCCATAACAGGAAACAGCTACTAAGCCCTCACTTGTCACGCAGACACCCGTCGGCCGGTCCAGCTCTCCTTTTCCAAACTCAGCCAGCGGTGTGTGTGTTTCTGCGGCGTATACCTGCAGAGAACATGGACACCACTGGTGAGCGTACAGGAATAACACGTATTATAGATTGTTGATGCATGGATGATGTATGGATGATGTATGGTTGATGTATGGATGATGTATGGATGATGTATGAATGTTACTGCATAGCAGGAAATTTTCGGACGGAAATATTTTCGGACAAAGCTGAATTTCGACCTTTCCTTTCGAACGGATTTTATTTTCGTACAGTGCTGCATGCTAAATGCACGTGTTCACAATGTATAGTGTACATAACTTCACAGGAACAAACTTTAGTGCGGAATTAATTTTAGTACAAAAGAAGCCGTGTACGAAATCGTACGAAAATGAATTCCGTCTGAAACTTTCCTGCTATACAGTATATGGATGATGTATGGCGGGTCCATGAATGATGCGCAATTCATGTATGGATGATGGTATCATGGAAGGTATGAGTTAGCATGGTTAAGCCACACTGGAATATAAGCCACACTGGAGTATAAGCCACACTGGGGTATAATCCACAGAGGAGTACAAGCCACACTGGAGTATAAGCCACAATGGAGTATAAGCCACAATGGAGTACAAGCCACACTGGAGTATAAGCCACACTGGAGTATACTTCGCACTGGAGCATAAGCCACACTGGAGTAGAGGCCACACTAGAGTATAAGCCGCACTGGAGTATTAGCCGCACTGGAATAAAAAGCCCTATCTGAACAATTTGAATTGTTTGGCACCAAATAGAAACATCTTTCTCATTTACTACTGTTGATTTGATCATCGTAGTATAAGGCACACCGGATTCTCTTTGGATGTATTACTGCTAGGTGTGTAAACCACTTTGCTACTTCTGAAGTATGTTTACATTCATTGAAAGATGAATATGCGTCAAACCAGCAACATGGAGACAATTTCGGTCAGGGATTCAGTAACGTTACCTCAAACAACGGCCTTTTACATCGGCGTAAACAGAATCCACCACAACATGGCACGTATATCAAATTAGGCATTTCTCTAAATGTTAACATGCAAGCCAAGCATACAGTAAGAACACAGCTACAGTACATCCAAGACTTGGTCGTAGCATTGATGTGTGTCCACTGTATTCCTTGCTCTGTTCTCCAGACATTCAGCACTCCACACAGTCTGAGTATGCATGGACACTAGGTAAACCCTAAAGCATATGTGCCAGAGGTACCATTTTGCAAATCATGCTAGTACTAGTATTCATTGCAAGCTTGCATGTGAGACACACTTTTATACAAGAAAGTAGTGTAAGAGTAGAATGTACCCTTGTTTTTTGAACTGTAAGAGCTAATGTACTCTTGCTTTACTTGTACTCTGTGCATGCAATGTACATCACTTTCTGTGTTCATATCAGTGTTGTCTGATGATTGTACTGACCATGAATCACAGACTAGCAACAAACTGACCATGCTCCACTGTTGTATATGTACTGGGTACTACTCTCTGCCTGTAGGTATTTAGAAAGAAGAACACGACAACAAGCTCTCCCTTACCATAACACGTCCATTGCCTCGATCTACGACTAGAACATTGCCGTAGGTATCTGTAGTGACATCAAACGGTCTGCGCAGCTGACCAAAAGCGCTGCCCTTTGACCCGAACGAAGTGAAAACCCCGAAAGCGCTGCCCCGAGAACCGAATGAAGTGATATACTCTCCATCGACGGTCATCACCTTTTGCAGGAATAAAAAAAATTGAACATTCACACACACCACTGTGGTGACAGCAAGAGTATAGATATAACAGGAGTGTAAGAATAATACTCCAACACACAGTGCATAGCTACCATCATTATTGTAGTGATGATAAGGTTACTGGTGTGCAACTGTAAAAACTCAAAACCTGAGGTGAAACATGGACCTGGCACCAACATTTGATTACTCTGTATGTATTTATTGTAGCACAGACACTGTTTGGTTTGTGACATGATGTATAGACATGATGTTTAAGAGTCTAACTTCACATCAGCCTATACACTCTTACACTGAAAAGGACAAGTAACAGGCGAACATGGCCAACAAGCACTTGCATGACGTACACATTCATTTCTGATTGGATGAGTATTTTCCTGCCCGACCCTGTCTAGTGTATATTCCGATAGATGGGTTGTCAATACCAGTAAAGTCTTATGCACACTAGACATGCAAAAAAGAAACAATATAGTTCCAGATCTACATGTAGATATTGCAATTTCAGTGGATATAATTGAAGAAGGTGGCTACTCCAAACTTTGGATCTCGGCTCTTGCCAGAGAGCAACACATTTTGCAGTGCTCTCAGAGCACAGATTACAGTAACGTTCTGAAGCTCAGCTGATACAGGGGGAATTCCCCGGAACACTGCATATAGCAGAGGGTGGCGATTTTTGCAGATTTTCTGAGTCAAACATTCCACTTGCTGATCATGGTCTCTAGGCGGCAGTCATGAATCAGTCAAGTGTCAAGTCAATCAGAATGAAGTGTAAGCACCAAAGTTTGGAACAACCACCTACAAATACCTGTCCCAATGATAATTATAAAGCTGAACTTGCTACTGCTTCCATTGCTGCTGCTGCTGTAGTAGATTACGTAGTAGTAGTAGTAGTAGTAGTAGTTGTTGTTGTCGTTGTCGTTGTCGTTGTCGCTGTCGCTGTCGCTGTCGCTGTCGCTGTCGCTGTCGCTGTCGCTGTCGCTGTCGCTGTCGCTGTCGCTGTCGCTGTCGCTGTCGTTGTCGTTGTCGTTGTCGTTGTTGTTGTTGTTGTTGTTGTTGTTGTTGTTGCAGTCGCCGTCGTCTCTGTTGTCATCATCGTTGTTGCCGTCGTTGTCATTGCGAATGTTGTCGTCTTCGGTGTGATTGTTGCTGTTGTTGCCAGCTGAACATGATAAAATACCTGGATGCGATCGTTGCCACTATCAGCAATAAACAACCTGTTGAGGTACACTGCGATGCCGCTTGGATCTTGAAATTGGCCTTGACCACTACCTCTCGTTCCAAATGCATATCCTGTCTCACCACTGCATGGCACAACCTGTACAGTACCAGTGTACATAGAAGAATATACACCTGTGAGTTGTTGTCTGATGATCGATTAAACCGTGAAACTCAGAGTTACAGCAGAAACGCTTTTGATTCCTCTCAAGTGTGTGTGTGTAAACCTGTGAGATATGTAATTCATTTGCACACAACTTACAACTAGATTTGGTGGTTGGGCTGTGACAGAGCTTTATGAAGACTTTCTAAAACACAAACATGTAGTGATGTACCGTTATCCCAATGGAACCCACACGCATATTCATACATACACATGCTCACGCACACACACATGCACACACACACACACATACACACACACACCTACTCACGCACACACAAACACACATGCTTGCACATACATAACACAACACGCCTGTCCTGTCCTGTCCTGTTGAGTCACTGCCATGAAGGTTACGTCGGCCCCGGAGGGGCAGCTGAGAGAGAGGAGGAGCACACAGCCCTGTGACAATCCAGGTGATGCAGTAAGCGAAATCGGCGGGAGCAGGCGCAAACACATGCGAAACCCTGACGGTCCTGAACGGTCGGACGACTACAATTCCGTGAGCGGCGATGACGGGCGCGGCCACGTGTAGACGCAAAGCAGCGGTCACAAGCCTGGCAGTGAGCGACGCAGCCCAGCGGAGAAGCAGGCAGCGGCAGGGGCGCACCGACTGCTGACTGGGGGTAAGCACACTTGTGCCTTGCCAGACCTCCACGGGACTTCAGCCAATGGCCACACTCTCTACACTGGCATGCACCTTTCTGCTCCGTAACCGGCTTCGCACGCTCAACCTTACACTTGTGGCGTGCGCCATCACTGGGGCGTGCAAACTGTCGGTCGCAGGTGTAGCAGGTGACGGGAGGGGGATGCTGGGCATCTACCGGTGCTGAGTACGCCGAGCGCCAGGTGGAACGCGACTCGCATTCAGCTCGCCATTCCCCTCGAGGCCGGGAGAACGAAGGTCAGACATGATACAATCCTTCCAGCGCCGACGGGGGCCATGAGCTGGGCGACGCGACGGAAGCATGCCAAAGAGAACTTGCTTCGGCAGCGGGTGGTCCTCCATCCGAGCAACATGCCCGAGCCATTCAAGGCGGCCGTGCTCCACCTTCGTGCGGATGGTGTCGGGATCACCCCACCAACACGCACACACACACACACACACACACACACACACACACACACACACACACACACACACACACACACACACACACATAAATGCTTGCACATACACACACACACTATACCACACACACACACACACACACACACACACACACACACACACACACACACGCGCGCGCACACACATGCACACACACAATTGTGTACACACCCTCAAGCCCCCACACACAAACACAAGCCAAATGGACCCGCCCACCCACACTCAAACGGCGCCACCCACCAACGTCACACCAATGCTCCC